ATTAACGAGGGGGGGGAGCGGGTTAGCACGGGCCGGGCGGGAACGGAACCACCGCTTGGATCAGGCTGAATTTTTTATTTCAACTGACTTTTTTATTTCCTTGTGTTAAAAAAAAAAGAAAAAAAACATTTACAATGTGATTTGAGTTTAATAAAAAAATCTTTTTAAGGCCTAAAACTTATTTATTCTCTCTTCAAACATGGAAATAAAAACGAACCAGGCAGGATCCAGGAGCCTCTCCCAAACTCTTGGTGCTAAAGGCGGCTCCGCTCTATAAAGAGAGAATCGGGGGGGAACAGCGAGCTGGGGAGGCGACGCTTTATGAACAGGGCCCGGCTGATTAGCTTACGGGATTTAGGCCAGCGGCTCTCAACCTTTCCCGACCGATGTGCCCCTTTCAGGAGTCAGATTGGTCTTGCGTACCCCCAAGTTTCACCTCACTTAAAAACGACGTGCTTCCAAAAATCAGACATCAAAATACAGACGCGTCACAGTGCACGGTCAGTGTCAAATTGCTTCTGGTTCCCATATAATTACAAAATAAATCAGCTGGCATATAACGACGGTGCTCACATCTCGGTGTATCGTACGCAGAGCCGTATAAACCAGTCACTGTCTGTGGGAAACTGGAGTTCGGACTGGCTTCGCTAGTGCTTTTTCTGGAGCCTGTTGTAAAACTAGGCAAATCTCTAGAGGAGTTGATGGAGCCCCTGGACGATCTGTGTACCCCAGGGGTACGCGTGCCCCTGCTTGAGAACGGCTGATTTGCAAGCGACACCGGTGAGGAGAAACTCAAGCTCCGCTCACTTTCTCCTGGGCGGATTTGAAAACGTTCCCAGCCCGCTGGGCAACAATCGGTTTAATTCGCGGCCTCCCATTAATCCCGGCTTAATCAACGAGCCGCAGAGGGAAAACGAGACGCTGGGGGTTGCCAAACCAGTGAAGGTCGTTCGGTTCAAGAGAAGCGATTTGGAGAGAGGGGCTTGGCGCGTTTCTCTCAGCTCCAGCGCCTGTCCGAGCGCGGCCTGACCAAAGCCCCAGCCGAAAGGGACCAGGCAAGGCCCCCGGCACCAGTTTCTGACCCAAACTGCAGGATTAATGAAGCCCGTTGCTTCCATGATGTACAGCCTCCTGCATAGCAAAGGGACGGACCTAAGGGCGCGTTAAGGTCCCAGTGAGCTGGGGTCCCCCTGGATGAAGGGTTAGAGCAGCGGTTCTCAACCAGGGGTACGTGGACCCCGGGAATATTTGCCTAGTTTTACAACAGGCTCCAGAAAAAGC